GGGGAGCATACATTACAGCGGTGTAATCCTGCAGAGTAGATTCATTCTTTACCTGCTCCTTTAAGGCTTACATTTATTATACCATTTATTTATATTATTTTAAGTTGCTTTTTAGTTTCATTTTGTTGTGTGGTGCTATGTTTTTCTCTCAGTTATATTTAGGCCAAGTTCTGGAGCTCAAAAATGAAGCCAATGCCAATTTACCAAAAATTGCAGTGGCCACTTGAGGCTGGCTCCAAGAGCAAATCAATCCCCACAGAATCCCATTTTAAAAACATCAAACTTCAGAGCACATTACTCTATTATTGGATTTTGTTAATACCTTAATTTAGGAGCGTGGATGTTAGGCCTTACCTCGATGTAGCTGAATCATTAAACCATGACCCTATTTGTACTGCTGGTGCCTTTTGGAGCATTTTTTAAACGAACTTATCTGACAAATACTGCAGTTTGCTGTGTGGTACACCCTGTCCACAAAGCTTTTGCTTGAGTTTTGTTGTGTTAAATTCCAGTTATTAACTTAGCAGTAACGAGGCATCTGTGATTTGTGTGCTTTGGGTCCACAGTTTCTTTTTTATAGATGTAGCTTTGAAACCAAGTGTTCTAGAAACTTCTGGCCAAAGAGTCTAGAGAGTAAATATTTATGCCCAGAACACTGACTTTGAGCATTTCAATTACATGTTAATTTACCATGTGTTTTTATTAGAGAAATACAGTTTAAATGGTTACATTTCATGGAATGTGGCCAAATCAAATTTTCTTGACATCGACATAACTTTTGGTTGCAATCAGGCATCATTCAGGTTTAGAAACCAAAACTAATCTGTTAAGTTTTGGGAAACATCTTGGTTTCTCTCACAGTGTTCATGTAATTTTTCAGCTTTAATTGTAAAAATTCTAATGTACCTGTTACACAGACTGGGCTGGAAAAGGAAAGCAGCTGTCATAATGTGAACGTGCAAGTTTATATTTGATGTTGCCCCTCTGGTGTTGTATCACTCTGACCTTTGTGTTTGTATGATGTATGTTTGTATTACAAAAAATCCGACTATTGGCCTTAGCAAAGGTGAATGCTCCCCGAGTGCCCTTATAGTTGCTATTGAAGCAGCTGCTGTGAAAGGCTGGTGACCAAATGGTTTAGAAAAAAAAACCAAGCATTTGATCTGAGGGGCTCAGGACAATTCAAAATAAATAAAAAATATACTTGTGGTTTTTCAAACCCTCAGTCTGTGAATCTCAGAGCTTGAATGAACACTGTGCCGTGACGGACCGTCTCAGTTGAAATGCATAACTATCCTCCTGTGACTGGCTGCCTCAGGTGGGTACAGGGTGACTGAGGATGCCTCCTGGCATTACAGCCCATTAAGCCTCATGCTAGTTATTATCTATAATAGCTTTCATTGGGGAGGGAGTAGTAGTTTGCTTCTTTCCATTTCAGCTCACAGCTGAAGCCTTTTCTGCTCCAATATGGTGCTTTATTTGGTCTGTGTTGTTGCTTATAATTGAATTTCTTGATGTTCCTTAAAAGAAACTTGGCCAGTAGAATCAAGGCAGAGTAGAGAAGGAGAAAGAGCTTGCTTGACGTTGTTTTCATAGACCAAAACACCAACCAATTTTATGCAAACTATGGGTACTTTTACATTTTTTCACGTTGTATTTAGCAGTGACTCGAACAAAATTCAAACCTGGATACAAATTTTATGGACCGTGTACAATAAACGTGACACAAACGTAAATATAAAACATAACATGAAATGAACATAATATATATGAAAATTAAAAGAGCTGTAACAAATGTTTTTGAAAAACATGCAGTATAGATATTAATAATCGCTGTATGTTTGATGATGTGCAAAGTTTTGTTAAGATTAGCACACCGTTCAAGGATGCGATAAATATGCATGTGATCTTTATAATATGATGATTCAGCTGCTTTTTATGCAGACTTAATTATTGCATTGGAGTGGGACTGTGATGCACAGATTGCCGTTCCCAAAAGACTGTTGCTATTGTATCTAAAGGTAATATATTGGCAAATGTGAAAGAGCCACCATGAAAATTCCTACTGTCCCCCTGAAAATGACTGTCATAACTTCAGTGGACCTGAATTGACACCTTGCAGGGTTACCACACTACCACACAGACAAACTCCAAAGAGATTTTAACACCTGCCAAAGTATTTGTGGTAGTTCCCACTGCAGCAAGTGTCACGGGGATCACATTTTGCCATGTTGGCATGCATGCATGCACTTACACAAGATAAAAACAACATCAGTTGCAGCTGTTAAAGCTGCCCATCACAGTTTTATGGTCTTTTTTTGTTTGTTTAATCCAATAGTGCAGAGCCCTTTAATGTTACGTTCCCCCTATTATAAGCAGATGGGCAATAGCACTGTGCAAAAATCTGTCACAGTTTATTAGCTTTGAGAAACAAATGACTCATTAATAGCTGTTATTTCCTAACAGACATTTAACATAACAGACAGTCACTGCAGGAGCACACGTGTTCGTACTAACATTAATAGCTCTATTTTCGAACACCAGTAAGCCATAATAGCAAGTGCCTGAAAAGAAAACAGGTGAATGGAACTCAGCCATCATTATTTATTATTAATCATTTGCTTTTGTGAGAAAAGGCCTACTGACTAAATGTTTCAACATTAATGTTACAGGGCCCTAGAGTGCGGCACTCTAAAAATAAATATTTGGTCGCACCTGTGCGACCAGATGATCCGGTAACAAAAAAAAAATCTCTGCAACTCTCCGTGTGGTCAACAACAGACACACATTATGCCCCTATCGTGGACTAAACCAATCAGAGGTAGTCAGGGGCGGGACCTCTCTGATTGGCCGTGGTCCAGTTGAAAGTGCAGGTGGAAGAGAGAGGTGAGTAGCTTGAATAAAGCGATATCAATTCATTAACGGATTCCACACAAAGACCTAAACACAGAGCGGACCCGACGCATCAGAATCAGCTTTGTCTTTCTCGGCTTTCTCACCCGACGGCCCGAACACGGACACGCTGTCGGAGCTTAGCGATTCTGATGTGTCGGGTCCGCTCTGTGTTTACGTCTTTTTGCGCTGATTCTGAGCTGCAGGTTTTGCCTCTCTCCAACCAAAATTCGCCGAGCCAGCAGCAAAAGAAGCAGCAAACTGCGCTTCACATTTGATCAATGTCGTCATGAATTCCCTCTGACTTTTGCTGTTTTGCTTCCACCACAATAAAAATCACACTTCCTGCACAGCTCTCTCTCTCTGTACTTCAGGAACAGTTTCCCGTCTCAAATCTGTTTTCTGCATTATTCATTCGCTTATTACCCACCAGTCTACCATTGTTTACAGCGCTTTTTCTTTTTTCACTTAAATGACCTCGGACAAGAAAGCCTAATTTCTGCTGTTCAATACTGAAGAAATTTAAACTTCTTAAAATTATGCAAAATTGCAGAATATTTTTAAGGTTATCTGCTATAAAAAGCCAGACCAGGAAAATCTCCTTCATGTTTTCCTGTGTTTTATTCTCAGTTACTTTCACACAAAGGCATCTGCTGTGATGTTCACAATTCTGATGAAGTCAGTACTGATAAATGATCAGAATTATAATATTTCTGACTGTCTGAGGCTAAATTGAATCAAATCAGGACTTTGAGAACCGGAATCGAATGGATTATAGAAATCAGTGATGATACCCAGCCCTAGTGAGCAGCCTAGGCCTGAGAGAAGTGGATGTAGCTGTGGGTAATAAGAAAAGATGAAAAGAACTATTGACAACTTTTTTGTTAAGGCCTGATCTGTCTGAAATTCATAGCCAGTGCTCTGACACGGTGTCATCAACCTTTGAATGCTGAAAAAGCACAGTGTATCCAGAAAACACATTATATGCTGCAATAAATGCAGTGCCCAAGTGTCCCCTCTCCCCACGGCCTTTCAGCAGCAGACAGCAGCAAACAGGTCGTCAGAGGAGGCCAAGATGATGATTAAGTTTAACATTTTCTACAATATTGACAAAGCACTTTAAGCACAAGTTTGTTAGTTAATAATTTAGAAATTAATATTGTCTGTATGGACTCCCCCCCCCAAAGAAAGTGCACATGTAAAACTGCGGTGTTAAGCGATGCGGTTGAAAAATTTGAGTGCGCCTAACTTTTGTGCCGGTACGCCCAAGTTTTTAAAGTTAGGCGTACCGGTGCGCCCATGTCAAAAAGTTAGTCTAGAGCCCTGTGTTAAACAACAATGGCATAGAAATGATCATAAAAGTTGGAAAATAAGGGCAGTGAAAATAGTAAATCTTTGATATCATCTCTATCAAAATGGAAAAACTAACTACGGTAGTTGACCTTGGCTTGGTATTGTTTTGTCATATTATGATAACTGGGGTACAGTTATTGTGATATATAAAGACTTGATTGTTGACTAAACCGAGACATGAACATCTAGTCTTTAGAATAAAAGGCCTTTTGTTTGCACTTGGATTATACCTTGTGTCTGTTATATGGATAGTTATGAAAGTACACACTGCAAAGAAAAAACTGAAAACGATAACACGTATATTATTTGTCCAGATGATGCGTTTCATCCACGTCTCCTACGTCTCTTATCGTAGCTGGGTTCCGCCTTCAATAAGATTAGTATTTATGTAACCAAATAGATTTTTCAGTGTGAATCTCACCATCTGTGACCTGGGAGGTAAATACTGACTGACTGGTATTCTTAAAAACATGCCGGTCCACTCCAATGATCACTTATCTCAGTCAAGCTGTAAGAGTTATTTCAGAAGCAATTAAGATTTCTAGATAGAGCCTCACAACGGTTGGTCTCTGTCCTCTCTTACATCTGTGATAGCATCACTGCTGTCACCATCATTGACGAGAATGTAGGAAAAATTTCTTACACATAAAGCTGAGGATATCTGACTGAATGGACATTCACCTTTTATTGAGCTTCTTCACATTATCCTCAGCCCATATCTACAGATGGACACCAGCAGAATAATTCATGCTTGACAGATCTTTTCCATTCAATGGGGCTTCTGTGAAAATGCTAAAATTACAGTTATAGTCTTCTAAAAGGAAAAAAAAAATCAACATTGTTTGAATCACATTAAGTCTCCTGCTTGGAAATGTCAAGTTTTTCATTATCTTTGCAATCAAAATATTCCAAGAAACTGCCAATCAAAAAAAAAAAAAAAAGTAATGCACTTACTGTCAGACTAAGGGAACTGAGGTGTAACTCTATTACAAGCAAATTAATTCCAAAAATAATTAATGATAAGCAGACTTTAGATTCTCCAAAACAAGTTATACTATATTTTTCCTCTTCTTTAAACCTGCCTTAAACCAACGTTACAAGTGTGGCATATAGGAGTAGGTTTCATTCTATTGCTACATTTACTAGTCTATTCTAGGGTTAACTATCTTCTGGGTAATAGGTGGATACTGCTAAAGTGTTATTTATTGAAGTGGGAGGGGTTATGAAGCCGCATGCTGCAGTGGCTGTACCCAAATACTAAATGGTGTGCATCCCCATTTAGCATAACCACTGCTGTAATGAAGTTTTCTCCAGTTCGATTATTTTATCTTTAGTCTGATTTCTTTTTTCTTTGTTGTACTAAAACCTTTAGCAGCAAAGAAAAAGAACACAGACTGTTGAACATTTTCAAGGCTCTTTCTTTGTGTTTTCACCACCCAGCCATCTGACACAGGTACATCCATACAAAACTTGTTTTACAAAGACAATTTCAACTCATCTGCATTTTTAACCTTCAGTGAGGTTGAAAATGCCGTGATAATATTATATAAATATTTGTGTATTTTTTTCATTTCAAAATACCATGTTTTCTCTTGTGTATATATTGATAAATAACTATTTTCTGCTCTCCAACTTTTTGATGCTATATGGAACATTTTTAGTAGCTAAAACAGCAGTAAATGTCCTTCAGTATGCAACAAAAGATGAATTTCTCTTTGAGAATAGCAGATGCTTAGGTGTGTGCCTTGAACCTAAAGAAGAACACGAGTGTTACAAAGTGAGGCTTTGTCAGCTTCAGTGCAGAGGAGGTAAGAAGGTACCTACCGATGGGCAAAACCAGGAAAAAAGGTAGCCAGCACATAATAAAGCATCCAACGACAATGCCAAGAGTCTTGGCTGCTTTTTCTTCTCTTGAGAACTTCAGCAGCCTTGGTAGGGAAAAGGAGGAGCGTTTATGCATTGCGGTCCCCTCGTCACCCTCCTGCTTCCCTATCTGAGCAGCGTTCCCTCTGTGTATCCTCAGCATCACCCCCTCCATCTCTACCCCCTTTCCTTTCCTCCCTTTCCTCAGGGTTTTGGTCTCTCTCTTCGCCACGGTATATACACGACAGTACATGGCCAGGATGATGACCAGTGGTATATAGAAAGATCCTAAGGCTGAGAACAAGGCGTAGCCAGGCTCCTCTGTAATTCGGCACACTGTCTCGTCCTCTGGGTCGGGCTCTTTCCAGCCGAATAGAGGGCCAACAGATATAGCTGCTGAGAGTCCCCAGAGAGCAGCCACCGCGGTCAGGCCTCGCCGTCCGGTAGCTATAGCGGGGTAACGCAGGGGGTAGCTGACAGCCAGGTAGCGGTCAATAGAAATCACACACAGGCTGAGGATAGAGGCAGTGCAGCAGAGGACATCCAGGGCGGCCCATACGCTGCAGAAGGACCGGCCAAACACCCACCTGCCGAGAGCCTCTGAGGTGGCGGAGAAGGGCAGGACAGCAGAGCTGAGCAGCAGGTCTGCTGCTGCCAGGTTGGCAATGAAGTAATGTGTCACAGAGCGCCAGTGGTGGTGGAACAGCACAGACAGGATGACCAAGATGTTTCCGAGGACCCCAAACACTACAAAGACCACCAGCACCATCCCCAGGACGACTGCCTTGGCTACATCCACCTCTGGGTGGGCGGAGGAGCTGCAGTTTGGACAAAGACCTGCTGCAGAATAAACACTCATGTTCTCTGCAGGAAACATTGTAATCTGCTGGTTGCATTAAGATGTAAAGTGTCTGGCAAATTGATGACACTCATGCCACATCTGTTCTTTAATTACTTCAGCTCCAACCCTCTGCCGTCTTCCGCTCCTCCCAGCGCAGAGGATAAAAGCTTTTACAGCTGCATAAACTGCTCTTCCAGTTAATTTGTAGGTACAGTGGCTCTTGCCAGCACTCCAGTGATCATGTGGCCAGGGTTGCTTGGCAGAACGTCTTATGCTGGAAGAGTAACACTGCCACAGTTTGCCATATTTAGTCTGGAAAAGCTTAATAAAAATGACAAATGCTCAAGTGGCAGTCACAGATGGATTTGGGGTGTCATGTCTTGCCATAACGAAAAGGCTTTACCTGTTAAAACAAGAAAAGAGATAAAGGAAATTTATCAACACATTCATAATCCTAGACTTTTATAAATACCCAAAACGAGCTCATTACTGCTTTAAGTGCTATTCTTTCTCTGACAGCGTAGGAGCAAATCAAAACAGAGGATGCAAGACAGAGCACATTAAATGTAAAATTGTAAAGTATAATCACCCGGCCATGATTAAAGGGTAAAAACATCATTTAATGGCCTCTTTGTGTGCAAATTCTTCTCCCTTTATTACAGCTGCAGTAGAGAAAAGAGAGCATGCTCCTGAGCCCAGCATTCCCAGTTTTCTTTTTCATTCAAAAAAACCAAAACAAAAATCCCCTCCCAGTGCGGTTTTCTTGTTTTGTTGGCTCTGCAAGAAAATACTGGTAAGATTAAAACATCCCATTATTTATACCTGATATTTGTTTAACCTTCATTTAAGCTGTCAGACTGATTAAAGCTAAACATGTCTTTACACAGGCGGTGTTCTTGAAAAGTAACTGTGGTAAGGATTATAATAGAAAAGAAAATATAAAGAAACAAGATATCATCCATTAAGAAAGAGGCAAACACAAGGACAACACAGCAGGAATATTATCCTTGGGGGTGGGGATCATTTGTGGCATCATGAGAAATCCAGCCAAACATTCAGAGAGCTTAAAGATAAATTAAGACAGAGATCATTTTTTAAAGTCCCTCCCTCAGAGGTCTTGTGTCATTAATCAGGGTTTTAACTCATCTACCAGATGACAAGCCAAGAATTGAACCTTGAGGAGGGCACTATATTACCCCAGTGAAGGCTTCAGCCATCGATAGTCCCGCTCAGTACCACTCGCAGTGAGCGTGTTTTAGATCAGGGATGTCACTGAGCGCGATAAGCACCAGCGAAGCATAGAATAAAAGAAAGTGGCCGTGATAAAGCCTTCAGAGAGAAGAGTCATGCTTGTCACATGTTCGTGCGGGATCAAAGGATTTCACTCGCCGCACGTCCCACTGCCAGGCGGAACGAAATTCACCCAAATAAACACTTGATGCTGGGATTTCCACATCAGTGGCCGGAGGGGGAATTGATAGGTGGTGAAAACATATCTTGGTCATATCTTAACATTTTTGGTTGTAATAAGATTTCTCAGTGTGGTGTCGCGCCTGCACGGAGAGATTGCTTTTTTTTGTTTTGTTTTCCTCAGCCCACCAGTGTTCGAGGACCACTGTTACTATGGAAGGATGTCAAACATATTTACATTGACCTGAGGCAGCAGTTGCAATTCTACATAGGTGAAACAAGATTACCAATATCTACAATGTGATGCAGTACTCCTACAACCACGCACAATGTTTTGTGTGCCTCAAGGCCACACAGTTGTCTTGATGTTAGCTGATAATGTAAAGCATGTATCAATAATAATAACAACGAGAAAAAGAATACTTTAATCATTGTTTTGGGAGCATTCATATTCATTTGATTATATCTAGTAAAAGGACTTTCTGCATCTCTCAATTTTATATTATTGCCAGTCGAATATCCTTTTTCCATTTAATAAACCACGAAAATATTGTAGAGATTAATAGACAGCGATAACCACAGCCTCAGCCCCCAAGGGCATTTTCCTTCAGTTGTCCAGCAGCAAGCAAAAACAAAGACTGAGACTGCACACGTCCATCATTCTCTGCAGATAAGATTTGATTAAAAGCTATCAGTGAACATCATTACAATCTAATTTACATCTGAATCCAAAGATGGCTCACTCAGGTTATTGCATTAGCAGAGCTCCTGGAAAGATTGTATGTTGTCCTTGAAGAAACTTTTTTGTTCCCCCTCCAGCTGGGCGGCCTTTGCCGAATGGAAACAAGTCAGCCAATTAAACCTAGAATTGGAATTATAATTAGGGTTTTGTTTTTTAAACAGATAGGATATTAGTGAGCATATTAACTGACTTAATGTAGCCTGACCATGGGTATATTAAATCAGAACAGCAGTTCCTAGCATGGGATGGTCTCATTATCACAAGGGTAACACAGACAATATCAACTTACTATTAACTGTCCTGATATTGTTTTGTGAATGCAGCAGATGAAGTCCCGTGAAAGCAATTGAGTTTGCTACACTTTGTAAAGTGCAAACATCTCTGCATCATGTCAAACACATTCCTACAGACTTATTAGATTTTGTTAGGCACTAATCATCAAGGATGCACTTTTTTCAACCTGCTTGCCTGTAACTAATTTATTGCTTTTCGGTGCATGATTTGCAGACTGATGAGAGTGTATTCAATGAACTTAATTTGGAAAATTTGTTACCACAAGCTCCCACAAGGACACATGAAAAAAATCACTTATGATGAAGTGAGAAAATGCTCACATTTGCACAAAGATCTAATTACTTTAGATCTGTTCTATGTCCAACAAACAAAGAAATGTAATATTTCTCCAGAACATCAGCTCTGAGAAAAGGGAGAAAAGAAAAATCAAGGATGTTAAATGCTTATCTTGAACATGTTTCCTCCAGGTCACCATATCACATAAAAGAAAAATGGAATTTATGACTGATTCAGATGCCTGTGAATGCCTCGGTAGAGTTCATATATCATTTCTGCAAACACTGTAACATAACTGCTTGTGTCAGGTCTCTGAAGGAGAGAGCACTACCGTGATGAATCACTGCACATTTGAAGTCAGTTTCTAAATTGCTATTTATTCTCTTGGGGGGGGGGGGGGGTTCATAATTCAGTCCCCGATCATTACATTCCACTAGTCTTGAACATACACAGCCTTTCAGGGCGGATAATGTGAGTGCATCTCCTTTTCATCCACCTGAAGAAGTGATTTTTGTTAGTGTTTGTCATCATTTAATGGAAGATACATCCCTGAGGACCAAAGCTTTGAATTCTCCTGAGCTTTAAAGCACGTTCCTTATGCAGCTACAACCATTCATCATTTTCTTTGCATTATTAATATTCACTTCAATATTCCACATATTCTGAATGAATATGGCCTGTGCATGCCTTTTATTTGCGTTCATTTCTAATAATAAACCTTCGTTACATATTTTAAATGCACAGAAAACAAACTCTCTAAAAGGTTGCCTGGATTATCATTACTAAACGGAAATAAAGCAGTTTTCTCAGTGTGCTTATATGTGGCCTGCCAGACAATAACCGCCTCCTTCACATGGTTAAAAATAATCACAAAAAAGCACAATGATCCATTCTGATGACTGGAAGCCACTCAGTTTGTGAAGTACAGTAAGCAGGAGTATGGACAAGAAAAAGGAAGGGAGGGGGTGAAAGTCTTACCTTCATCCATGTGCGCAGATCTCACCGGAATTCAGCTAATTTTCTCTGAAAGCATGTCATTTGTCACAGTGTCAGCCGCAGACAGCACGGAAAGCAAAGTCAAGTGCTTCTCTCCCTCCTGCTGTCCTCCTGCTCTCTCTGGTGAAAAATAAAGTCACAGTGGACTACCCCACCTGATCCTCCCAGACCCCGCCCCCTCACCGAGCGGCTCACACCTTTTAATTGCCGTTCAATTTAAATTTAACGCTTATTCAGGTAACCGCGTTCACGTGCGTGTGGCCCGGTAAAAGCGAGCTAACTGAGCTGTGAAACTAATTACACGTCGTTTCAAAAGGTTCATTAGGCTTCAGAAAGCAAGATTTATAACTCTGTTATTTTTCACTGCATTTTTCTACTGTTAACAAGTAAAGTGATCCTAACAAAGACTATTTTGATATGTCTTATTCCGCTGTGCTTATAGCTATGCTGCTGTACAAACGCTACAGTACTGTGCAAAAGTCTTGAGCTTTTTAAATATTTATTTCACTGGATCTAAGAAAAATGCTAAAGAAAAGAGAGTTCAACAGACATAAGATAGCCTTGCTCTGGTGATTACCAGAGAGCCAAAACTTGCATTTTATATTTTATATCCCAGGATATAAAACAGGGAGAAAAGGACTTGTGTAACCAAGTTACACAAGGGCTGCACTGAACATCAGTGGCAACAGGTTTCATGAAGTGACGAGTCCACATTTGAATTTTTGTTTGTTTAAATCGGCATTAATTTATACCGAGAGGCGAAGCGGACCCCCCCCCCCCCCCCCGGGCCAAAAGCTTACAAAAGTTTGATAAAGGTGTCTGCATACTTTGTTTTTCTTATAGCTGCCTGAAACATTTGTGAAGGACTTTTGCCAGTGAGAAGATGATGGATTTCTGGTTCTCCAGAGACTGAAGGGACCGGCTTGATCCTGGTGGTGCTTGTCTTTTGCTTTGCAGAGATATACTAGATGTAGTGAGGCAGAATCCTTAGTGGGGGCAGGAGAGGTCCAGTGCATCAATAATACCTCAAGGATGACAAATAGGCTATTTCTTCTCTCAGATTATTGTTTCGGGTTGAGTTATTTATGGATTCTCCAATGGCTGAGCAGCTTGACCGCAGGTGTCTCAGATGTTGTTGAGGGCATAGGCAGCTCTGTTCACTTAGAGATTTTTTTTTCACAATCCTGTCCTGAATGCTGGGATGATGCATTCATCTTCACATGACAGTTGTCTCATATGTCTGTTGCCACTGTGTGTATTGATCTAGTGTATGGATCTTTCTTGCGTATGGGCTCGTTGCAGCTTTCAGCACACATTTGTTTTTGTTTTTTTTACACTGTCCTTAGACTGACCTCCATGGCTTGTTCCCTGCTCAATGACAACAAGTGATTTGTTGTTTGGAATTAGTGGGGTCTGTGCTGATTGAGCTCATCCAAAAACAACAGCAGTTGAAAGCCTTAAAAATGAGAACTTCTTCTTTTATTAGTCATTTAGTGTTATCCAAATTAAAAACAGAGAGTGTGGTTTTAGCAGCTACAATGTGTTGAGCTCCAGAGATTTAACTGTTCTTTGGCTCTGCAGTTATTTACACTATTTGTCCAAGTAAAAGATTGAAAATCTCTTTTTCAAAGGACACCTCAACATTTACATCGTAACCTGGTCTCATGCCGTAAGTGCTGGTCAATTAGTCCCACAAATTCAGTCTCTTTTATTGTGTACACAAAGTTGACCATCATTCTACAGGAGAAATTGGGAGAATACTTCATGATCCTGTTACTGTATATTTTTGAGTGCTCACCGAGTGCAGACCCAGCTAACCAAGAAAACAGAGCCTTGAACAAAGTGAAACCCACTTTACTTCAGTCTGATTAGTTTAGGTGCCTAAATATAACCGAGCATCAAATTAAAATGAAGAAAATGGACTTGAAACAAAACTTAAGTGAAAAAGTAACGGTTCTGCTGTAGGGCTTAAACAATGACTTTGGCCTCTGCCATTCCTTCAGCATCCAAACATGGACTTTTTCCATCCTCAAAACCTCTGTGTTGAAGGACACAATGCAACAGATCAGCAGAGGCCATGCTGATAAATAACTCATATTCCTGTAAAAAAAAAAAGAAAAGAAAAAGTTAGGGGTTGTATCGAGGGAAATGAATAATAGATTCAATTTTGTGAGCATTTCACGTACTGCTGTGAGATTGTGTTGCATGTGGAACCTAACAATCAGTAGATGAATATTGCAACCTGCTGTTAAAAAACTTTGATTGACCATAAAGCTATTTAATGGTTGTGTGATGACAAACTTCGTTTTACTAAATCAGGGCTCTGCACAGGCTTAAAATGAGCTTCAAATTTGCTGAGCACAGCACAACATGTTTTAATAATGAAACTAGGCTTGCAGTTGTTTCAGATCTTCTCAAAAAATTAGTTTCACTCAGCAGAGGTATTGATGCCATCTGTGGGTTTAATATATAAATGTTAAAAGAGTGTCTTTAGGAATACAAAACCCATCTAAAGTATTAAAGATAGATAGACGTGGTTAGAGGCAGATTTTCCTGTGCAAACGTTATGGAAAAATGTGACTAGAAGTGAATTTTCCTTTCAAAAGACCATTGCTGACACAAATTATGTGCTTTAATGGAATGACTAGAGAATCAGCTAAACAACACTGAAAATGGAAAGGTTTTTTCACCTACACAAACCCAGATGAAATGCATGGACACTGAGTCCAGCTATAAAGCCTCTTCTGGTACAAGCATCTCTCAGTATAATACAAAACAGTTCAATGTCAAGATTTTGCTGTAGTACACAAAATGCAGGACACAGTCGAAAAGTAGTTTTCATAAACAGAATCTTCATGAAAACAGAGCAGACCATTATTAAGTATTAAAATGTTATTTTACAAAAGAATGACAACAATAAAAGAATGTAAACAAACATTTTTCATAAACAATGATAATCATATCTCATTTGAACTATTAAGGAACAATATAGGATCCATAAGCTTAATGCATGATTATAAATGAAATTTAGATATGTTTATTTTATATAATATTGCAAGAGCTTTGGGCATTTTATTTTTACATTGCTTATGCAGCAGTGGACATCACAGGCAGGTAACAGAAATTTTGATCAGGCAAGTATCTTTGGATTAGTCTCTTATTTCATTCACAGGCAGGAGCCGTACTAGGAAAGGCAACTTGAGCAGTCCGAACAGCTTGTCTCTGTCTCTGGGGGCAGGGGGCTATATTCAGATAACTTTATTTGGGAGGAGAAACAGAGCTTCTCCTCTTTTTCTGCCAGTCTGAGCACCAATGCTCCGAGCAGGCAAGTAGTTATTGTGGGCAGGATGAGAGTGGGTCAGGGAGGTTAGAAAGAAAGTATTTTCTGCAGGCTCTTCAACAGGTTTCCTTGGCGGAGACAGACATGTAAGTACAAAGCAAATGTAGACTGAGTATAAATACTGCCTTGATTTGAGATGGAAGACAAGTGTGCCTGCCCTGGGTTAGACAGCACCCACCACTGAAAGAGTCTGATAAGTTTTCATTGACACATACATTCACACAGTCAGGGGAGAGATGAAGAGAAAGGCTGATGCCATCAGGACCTTCAATATCACTTTACCTCATTCTCTGTGTAGAAACTGTTGAATTAAACTGAAGTATTTGCTGTGTGTACCTGTCTGTAATAATGGGATGCAAACGAGAAAACGTTCCAGCTGAGACCTGGCCAGTCCATCCTTCTAGCTGCTCAGTGGATAACAGTTACACTGAACTTGCGGAGCTTTTGCACAGCTGAGCCACATGAAAGCATTTAATGCTGTGTTTCTACACTATGTTCAGGCACAAACACAATAAAACAGCTACTTTAAAGCTGAAAACTTGTTCCAGCTTTTTCATACAGGAAACGAATCAACAATCAATAAGGGAATCAATGAAGGACTCAACCAAAGCAAAAATAATAAAGCATATAAATAAATAATCATGTAACTTCTGACAAAGTCAGGGTTTCAGACAGTGTTTGGAAAATGTTGGCTGAATGATTGAGTGAAAAAAAGCAACAAACATATGGGCCCCTCCTGAAAAACCTTCTTAACACGTCTAAACCAGGATTGTCAAACTCAGTTTGGTTTATGGATCATATACACTGCTCAAAAAGAGATAAAGGAACACTTTGAAAACAAATCAGGAAAAAAACAAAACAAATAAACATGGCAGATATTTATCCTTATATGGACTGGGTAATGTGTTAGGAACTAACGGACAGATATGGGCTGTAACTGTTACTTGGAATGCGTTACTGTTATCCGATTACTTTTTTCAGGTAATGATAAAAGTAAGAGATTACTATTGCAAAAAAGTAATTAGATTACTGTTACTTTCCTGTAAGCACACAGCGTTATGGCGTTACTGTGTTACTAAACTGTGATTTTGTTTTTGAGAGTGTCTCATGACAATGACGTACGAGCGTGCGATGTCCGTGGCACCCTAACCTCCACCCACCCCACTCCTGCTAAACAGGTGAAAATAGATTTAAGAATCACAGAATCTTTGATTTTATTTATTTTTGCTGTGTTTTACTTGCCTCTTTTTGAAAGAGTGAGTGCAAACACAAAAAAATATTTTATTTAATATGCTGGAATATGCAGAAAATAGATTTACATGTTAAACAAATTTCTTCCACTTGCATAGGATTTAATTTTTGCTTGATGTAATGTGCATAAAGTTAAAAGATTAAAACAAATAAAACTATTTTTAAAAGAGACTTTTTCATTTGATTACATTTTATATGATGGATTATACAATAAAAGTCCAATTGGGCTGAAAGGTCTATTGCTTTATAACGTGTTCAGGTTGTGTGTCATGTTTTTAAAAAGTAACTAAGTAATAAAGTAACTAATTGCTTTTGAAAATAAGTAATCAGTAAAGTAACAGTATTGCTTTCTTGGAGAAGTAATCAGTAATTAGTAAATAATTACTTTTTTCAAGTAAGTTGACCAACACTGCTAACGGATGCCACATTATTAGACAGAGATGAAAATGACCAACTCAAAATGAGACTCAGCAGTTTGTATAGCCCCCACCTACCTGACAGTGTTGAGGCATGCTTCTAACAGGACAAGGGGATCTCCTCCCAGATCTGTACCAGGGCACCGCT